GTTGCTGGATATGGGTAGTTCTCTAAATTAGGGTCCCTTTTCGGGTCGGTTTTTATAAGGGTGCCGTACTACATTGGGGGCCTGAAAAGGCACCCTGATTTAGAGAACTACCCAAATGTTGATGCTAAGGGAGTGATACTCTTGGACAGGCAGCTTGGACGGTTGCGGTAGAGGTCCCTTGGTACAGCGATCAGACATGATTGCTACTCGGTCCCCTGCAGCTCATGAGTGTGGAAATTTAAATAATACGGCTTGTTCGTATTTATTCCAACTGCTGGAATAACGATCACACCGAAGCAGCAGCAGCTAGTAATAGGTAGAGGAGTAGGAGCAGCCCCTGAAACCACGAACACCGGAGGGGCAGAAGCTCGGCTGCAACTGTGGGAATAATTTCGGTGGTACCAGGGGAAGAAGTACAATTGTGGTGCTTTTGTGGCGGTAACAATCGTAGCCGCAGGCATATCAGTGCTGGTAGCAGTGGTTAGCAGCCTCAGCAGTAGCAGCTGCTGCGAGTAGTGGCAGTGGCAGTGGTGGTGGCAATATTATTTTCGAGCTTTTGCCTACACTGGGTTAAACCAGGAGTCCAAGATACCTGGGCGTCGGCCTCGGCATGTAAACGGTGAAGCTGTCTGCTGTTTCTGAGAAAGTCCATCATTCCCACCGGAGCCCTGGTCCTTGAGTTTCAACCGAAGTTCCGAAGGGCCCACAACTCGAAATTCTATTTGCGAGTTACGCAGCCTGTGCAGAGCCCCAGGGCAGCCGAGTGGAATTGTCAGGCGCTGGCTCCCACATAGCTGACGCAGAAGGGTCTACTAAACCCTCCCTACACCCCTAAACCCCAAACTACGGCACCAAGCAGTCTTCATACGGTGCGACGTCGAAACTCTCAGGTTGAGATGCACAGCACTACCTACTCGAAGTCGCAGCTCCTGTCGGCCGGCATCGCCACGCTTTATGCAAGGGTGCACCAAGGCAAAAGGTGATTTTTCTCAGCAAAGAGAAACAGCAATGTAGAATTTCAACGACGATGTATACTCACTACACATGTTTGCATAGGTATGTGTCTATCTAAAAGCTATTCAACAAACTGGCTAGCTAGCTGGCTATGTAGCTAACTAAACAAACGAACGAAGGAACGAAGGAAAGAACGAACGAACTATCCAACGAACTAGCTAGCGAGCTAGCTAGCTAGCTAGCTGGCAACTAACTAACTAACTAACTAACTGACTGACTAACTAACTAACTAACTAACTAACTAACTAACTAACTAACCAACCGGCCAGCTAACTAACTAACGAACGAACGAACGAACTAACTAACTAACTAGCTAACTAGTCTTTCCGTCCATGTTGCAATCTACCCATCTGCCCGTACACCTACCATCCCGCTCTCTATCTAGCTATCTAGCTACATGTCTATCTTTATGTATGGCACGGTCTGTGGAATACAGGTTCATGCGTGTTCCATTTCATGCATGTGCCGAGAATGCATCGGATTTCTTGCAATATTGTATATGTAATGTAAACATGCTCATGTCCACACGTCATAGTTTGATGATTGCTTGGTTATTGTTCATGACCAGTCGTGCGAGAATTGAGGGGGCATTCACTGTCACTTTCAGGGACGACGACATGTACAGTACCATAGCACTAAATTTAGAGCTTACTGGCCGGAACTGGCCAGGTGCGTGGCATTTCTGCCCAAAGGTTTCGTGTTCTGGTTTCGGGTCCGGCTCGGGTACACCGAAAAGACTCAAGAAGAATAGAGTGATTACAAGCTCTAGCGCGGCTTGGCACGGCGCAGGGCAGAGAAGGCTTCCGAACAAGGAGCTCCAAGTGAGTCTCCCTAATGTAGGGGCCGAAACAACTGTTTTGGGGGTTCCTTATTATAAGTATAGTATAATGGGCCCCAAAACCCTATTCTAATTATGAAGGCCCCTACATCATGTCCATAAATGCATGATGGCGGTGTTCATCCGGCCATCTATCGGAGGCCAGCACTGGAGCCTTGAACATGCAAATCAGGTGGGGCCCCTAAACCCTAAATCCGCATGATTGGAGTCTCCCCATGCAGGGCACAGTTGGACTGTACATTGTGGCATACAGCCTCGTCCTGAAAGCTTGCTTGACACCTTGAAGGGATTCTCTAAACACGACGACCGCAAAGATCTTCGGTGGATTAGATCAACAAGATGGTTAGATGTGCTGCCTCTCTCTTGCCAGGTGTTCAACACAATGCGTGTGGGAGCCTCTTTTTGGGGCTTTCGGTGCTCCAGAGATTTCAGCAGCTCCTGATTCCGGGCTTGTGCTTCTAGTCTAGGTTCGTCACAGCTCAGTGGGCTGCAAGTCTCAATTTCCATTTGGGGGTTCCCTACATTGCAGCATTGTTGGGTACCAACTGAGTATGCCATTTGGAAGCATAAAACGGCCTGTCAGTTAGAGCAGGTTTCTTGAGGAGAGCTCTCGAAACCTTACGTAGTCCGTTGGTGCGGCTGGCAATGGGCCGAACCAGGTGAAAAGCCCATCCGGCAGCAGGGGTCAGTCACCGATGTTCACAAAATTCTCATGTTTTGTGTGATCTTTTAGCTTAGTTGTCAGGACACCGGAGGGGCCACAAAGGCCTGCTTACGGGGTGCTCGGAATGTACTCATGGGTCCGAGCGGCGAAGGCGGCCTTCAAGCTTGCTCGAACATTTTTCCTTTTTCCAACCTCAGTGTCAGCGATCCCCTGAGGATTGGTTCAGGGTTTAGGGTGTGTTGCCCAGGCCAAAGACAACCGGCGAAGGACATGGAAGTCAAGCGCCAGGGGCACAGTGTCAGTTTAGGCGTTGATACTCGCAGCAGCGGACTACGACGGCTGTAAGCCTTAGACTCTACGACTTTAAGTCTGTCTGTGTCTGCGTAAGTGTCGCTACAGCTCTTTCACGTGAAGCTCCGCTCCTGGTCCTGGGTTTAGGGTTTAGCGTTTTAGGGTTTAGGGTTTAGGGTTTAGGGTTCATGGCTGTTGTTCTCCACCCCAGAACCCTGGCTCAGGTCCCTGTATCGTTCATGCTCCTCCGAGACTTGTTGCTCCTTGCTTTGCTGATCCCAATGGGTCTCTGAGCCAATGCTGATGCATACGCTGCTTTTGTTTGGTCTGAGAAACCAGGTTCCTGAGCAGCACCCTTTTGCCCTTTTTATTGTATTGCACCCTTGTTAAAACTGAACAACAGGAAAGGGTACCCTTCTTATTAAGGGGCCATTCAGGAGCCTAGGAAACCATGGAAGCTTGTAGATTGAACCGGTGCCACTGACTTGCTTGGGACAGTTTGATCTTCTGACTGCCACCTGTAATAAGACCGTGTCCGCTGATACGGATGATAGGATGTTTTCGTCGATTTGTCCAGCCAGCGTCCTTGAAGAAATCTGGTTTGCTAACCAGGTGTGTATTTCATGCTTTTGACCCGACCGTCTCTCTTGAAAGTATTCAGCTGGCATACCCTGTGCTGCTTCATTCCCAAGGCTCAGCGCAAGCTTGGGATTCGCACGGAACCGGCCTCGGGCAAGGTTCAGTGGTTACAGGCTTCTGGGGCCCTAAGACGGCAGCATAACAGCACTTTGAGCCAACAGTTTGGTTTGGCAGCGCAGCTCTCAGGGACTGCCTGCACGACTAACTTGTTAGAGGGGGTGGAGCAGGAGGAAGACGAGGAGGAGGAGGAGGAGAGTCAGAAGCAGCGGCAGTGCGACGTTGTCATGCCGGTGCTTGTCCGTCATTGCAAGCTTGGACTTCTTTGCCTATGAAGCAGGAAGTTGAAGGGGTCGCAGGTTTGGTTCACTCAGTCTCCTGGACGGGCTACATATCCCCAGGCCCTAGGTGTATGCGACCTCCCAGCCACTAAGTGGAGAGCCCAATGCTCCGTGATGAAGGAACCGCCTCAGATCATAAGACGTAAGCCCTTAACCCTGCACATATTCCTTACACCCCAGATCCTAAATGGAGTGATGTTAGGCTTTTTGGGTACTCGGAGTGAGAAGCAGCCAAGGTGTAGTATAAGCATGATTGTATGGTGATGATCATTATTACTGTTACATTCTCCCCTATTACGATTATTCTTGCTATGTCTATAGCTGTTACTTACCTGTATTGTTGTGATGAAACACGACTATGATTCTGATTATTATGTTGAGGGTTGTTATACGACTATCATTCTTACTACTAGTGTGATTACGACTATGACATCATGACTATTTGAGTCTGACTATTGATATTGTTATTCCATTATTGGTATTACTATTGTTCATAATTTTACTATTATGCTTGTTACGATCGATATTAGTATTACTACTATTATTATTGTTACTTTTACTATTAGCATTTCCTAAACCCTAGCCCGTAAACCCCACCGATATTTTGATGACCACTACGAATTTAATGACTGCCCTAAACCCTAAGCCCTAAACCCTAAACCCTAAACCCTAAACCCTAAACCCTAAACCCTAAACCCTAAACCCTAAACCCTAAATCCTAAACCCAGTTGAAGTGGAGCCCGGACCTGAGCGACGACGAGGATGGTGAGGTTCGACTCGGAGGGTTTGGGGATCCCTTTCAAAGGGGTTAGGATTCCTAGAATCAGGGGTTTTGGGGATCCCTTTAAAAGGGGCTTAGGATTCCTAGAATCAGGGGTTTTGGGGATCCCTTTTAAAGGGTTTAGGATTTAGGATTTAGGGTTCGACTCGGAGGGTTTTTCCTAGTATTAAGGGTCTTGGGGATCCCTTTTGAAGGGTTTAGGGTTTAGGGTTGAGGGTTCGACTCGGAGGGGTTTCTTCGCGCGTAATTCGGGGTCTTTAAAAGGGGGGGGGGTTTACCTTTTTGCGGGGTTTGCATATGGGTGTTGGAGTTTTAGGATTTTCGGGCTTTCGAGTTTTAGGGCTTCGGGGTTGTAGGGGTTAGGTCTCTAATAGTCTCAGGGCTTTCGGGTTTTAAGGGTTTAGGACTTCGGGCCCAAGTCCCGCACCATCCCCCACTATGCCCATCCCTCACCATCCCAAGCCCCCAAGCTCAGACAGATGTATGCGCCCTACATTCATGGTTTCGGACTTGAGATCGCAGGGTTGTGGCCAAGGATGGGCTTCGTTCTTGAGACTTAAAGTAATATAGGCGCCTTAATAAGGCCCCGACATTACCTGTCCCTGCACCTTCATGCGTTGCAAATCCCTGATGCCAAGTGCATGCTCGCTTGCCGTGGCTGCTTGCAGGGTTTGGGATGAAGGGTTCAGGTTGTAGGGTTTAGGGTTTAGGGTTGAGGGTGTAGGGTTTAGTGTTCAGGGTTTCGGGTTTAGGGCCCCCAGATATTGCGGAAACTCCCAAGACCTGACTAGCTGCGACGCTGATGGCACGGGGAGCAAGTTCGTGAAGACCACGTAAAGTATCAGCGAGCATTAGTGTGTTGCACACTGGCAAGTGCGCGGACAACAACATCAGCGAAGAACAGCATCAAATCAGAAGAAGGACGGATGCAAGCCTACAAGTAGGAGTCAGACTTTGGTATTTCTTCCAGCTACATTAGCTGCTATGGCAGTTGGTACTTGTGCTACCTGATGACCTGACATTCCACCGGCACATCCTGCCATATTGTACACTGCTTATTCACGATTCACTATTTCGTACAACTCAAAACGTGTAACCGTGCGCCCTATGCTGTCACATACGACCAAGCTTTGATGCCTACATCCTAAACCCTACACCCTAAAGCCTAAACCGTACATTCTTCCATGCATTCCTAACCCTAAACCCTAAACCCTAAACCCTAAACTGTTCTGTCACCGGCCTCCACAGGATGAAACTCAGCCACGGAACTTGGACGACTGTGACTTGCCGTGGCCTGAGGTCTGAGGTCGCAGGAAAGCTGCGGCTCATGTTTCATGACCCACATCTGCCCTGCCTTAGCTTCCCTACTGTATCAGCAAGAGTAATTATCAATATTATTCTTAGGGTTCCTCGCTATATATATATATATAATACATATATATACATA